CTTGGATTTTGTTTTGCACGCAAATAAGTTGTTGGCCGGCTTGTCTCTGGCATCGCGATGCCGTCGAGGAACCAACGTCGTGGCTGATATCATATCTATACGTCGTCAAATGAGCAATCATGTGTTCGCCGAGGAGGCACTCTTATCTTTGGTTCTCAACTTCCCGGTATCTTCCCCTTGACCTCCTGATAGGGCCTGATACAATTATTCCGGAACCGGTGCTTTATTATAGAAACTGTCTTGTGTAGTCACCTTTTTTCCTTCCATCCTTCATATGCTCTTCATGATACCATCAAGCTTTTCGTATGAACTTCCTCTTTCAAAAAAAAGAAGTCTATTGGCTAATAATTTTACATGCTTTCCCGCATGGCATTACACTCGTCGCCGTGCGGCTCTACTTGCTTCTGACGATTTGTCGAGTCCGAGCATATAAAGCCTAACACTATGACTTGGTGACTACCTCCTTTTGTTCGACCGCCCTCCTCGCGAATAGGAGTGTGCCACTATGTTTGTAGCAGGCATCCTCGGTTCTTTGGTCCTTTGCGTACAGGTTGCGGTCGCTCTACGACCCAATGGTAGGCTGAATCGTGCGACTCCAATCGCACCTATTCCTGAAGAAGCCCTGAGTGAGGGGCCTGTCGTGAGCCGCAATGGCACGCAGTTGCCACCATACAGTGAGTTTTCGTTGGCAATGGATGTTGATTGCACTGACCACGAGTATAATTCTTCATAGATACAACGTACATTTTTAACCAGTTGGTATGACTGTGACACTCGCCTTCGTCCCTTTGAGTCCGTCTGCTGATCGTTAATGCTTAGATCGACCATACGAACCCTTCATTAGGAACTTTTCAACAACGATACTGGCATACGTATGAGTGGTACGAGACTGGTTAGTTTTACATCTTTTCTTGATTATGACTAATAGTTTGACTGACCTTGTGGCAGGCGGTGCGTCCTTTGATTCATAAAGCATGTCCTCTCACAGCTTAAATGCGAATACTCAGGCCCAGTCATCCTTTTCACTCCCGGAGAAGCCAACGCTCAACGTACGAAATTTTGTTTCATTTCTGGAACCTTAGCCTGATGAATATTCACATCAATGATCCATTTCGTTCCCAACCCAGCGTATACCGGCTATCTCACAAATACGACCATCAATGGACAAATTGCACAACAGCAAAGTGGTGCAACGATAGTTCTCGAGCATCGATTTTACGGTCTCAGCAATCCTGTCCCCAATCTGTCTGGAAAAAACTTGAAGTTGCACACGATCCAACAGGCTATAGATGATCTTGCATACTTCGCGGAGAACGTCGTGCTTCCTATGCCAAATGGTGCGGAATTTTCATAGGTCGAGGTGACCCGCTGATTTCTCACTTTATACATATTCTCTTTGTTTCAAAGGTGCACACCTTTCCCCCGCAGATGCACCTTGGGTGAATTTTCTTGAGCTTCTCAATGTGCTTTTGAGGGTATTGACTATTTCTATTTGGTTAGATCTTGATCGGTGGAAGCTATTCGGGTGCTTTGACTAGTTGGACTTTGGTCAAGTGAGCACCTTGAAATTTCGCGGCTTGTTCCCTTCTCCGTCTCTTATCTTAAACCTCACAGCAAGCCAGACGTATTTTGGGCAGGATATGCATCCTCAGCGGTTGTTGAAGCAATTCTGTGAGTAGAGTTAACACAAGCCTGTCTAAGAGCATCCAAGTGCTCACCGCCCCAACTCGTTGCGGCGCATTCTGATAGAGACTACTGGGGATACTTTGAGCCTATTCGCCAATTTATGCCAGCGAACTGTTCCGCGGACGTCGAAGCTGTCATTGCGCACGTCGACGAGATATTTTCTGGAAACGACGCTACTGCAATTCAAGTACTCAAAGACAACTGGGGTTTGGGCGAGATGACTCATTTGGACGATGTTGCTGGGTGTATGTGTCATTTTACCTCATCTCGGAAATTTTTGAACTGAGTTGATCTTGAACCGCCTTTTAGCTCGTACGTGATTCTACGCTTTTCAAATATACTGTATATTTATACACTAGATTCTTAGTCCGGAACAACCTCTGGGACTGGCAATCCTTATCGCCCACATCGGGTCCAGGTGCCACTTTCTTCCAATTCTGCGATGCATTAGAAGTCAAAGATGGCGTCAACGCACCTGCTACTGGATGGGGCCTTGACCATGCTCTCACTGCTTGGGGTTCCTTCTGGAATGAGACTTACCTTGATGCTCGTGAGCATATATCCTTTTCCTTTGCAAGGATGCCATATATCGTTTAATTTGACTTTTAGTTTGTGGCGGCGATGATGTTGTGTAGGATGCACTCTCAATCTGTTGTGATTTATTCGAGTCGCTGACACTTATGACACACTTTGGAACAGCGACTGCCTGGGATCCTACAATCCTGAGTCGGCAGTCTACACAGATATCGCATTGGACAACGCTGGTCGCTCTTGGACCTGGATTGTGTATGTACTGCGGCTCTATTGAAGAACATCATTTGAATCAAATTTCACAGATGTAATGAAGTTGGTTTCCTCCAGGTGACATACATATTAGAGTATCTCTTGGACGGTTCTGAACGAAGATGATTTTTCATTAGGAGGGACCTCCAGAAGGGGTACCAGCTATCGTGACACGACTTGTTCAGCCAGCTTATGATATCGTGAGTTGACGATTAAACTCTATGGGTTGATCTGATTTTCAAAATGTCTCCTTTTTGATTCATAGCGTCAATGTGTACTGATGTTCTCAGATGTATTTGCCTCTCCCGCAGACGTTCCGATGGCTGCCGGTGTTGCCAATGTTAACAAGGAGTACACCGGTTGGAACGTGAGCGTCGACCGACTTTTCTTTGCCAACGGACAACGTGAGTGTCGGTTCCGCCTTTATCCCTTAGGGATATGCTAAAACTGACCCTTCCTCGAAAAACACAGGCGACCCCTGGAGAGAGGCGACAGTCTCTGCGGATGGAGTAGATGTCGCGAGCACCAACACTCAACCTATCGCGATCGGAGACGGGTTCCATTGTTCGGATCTTTTGACCTCTGCAGGGACTGTCGATCAAACTGTCCTCGCTGTGCAAACTGAGGCTTTGTCGTTTATGAAGACATGGCTTGCGGAGTGGGAAGCTCCTTCGAAGACGTCAAAGAGGGAGATTTCTGAAGCGCGGCATTCGAGGTTCTTCAAGAATGTTGCTGCATGATAAATTTATCTCGTAAATTTAAAGTCTGGATGCAGGTCCATACTACTATTTTTTTTTGTCAGAATACTTACCGCTTTGAATTCCACATTTTTACCCACTAGAACTGTGAAATCAAGTAAAATAACTGGAAGCACGACCACGTGTTTCCTACCATCGACGCGTCCTTTACGTCACGGGTCTTTATCCTAGAGTGTATACAGTTGTACTGTATATCCGTGTCGCTCTCTCTGGTACCACCACCATCATTCACTTACGCATATCCTCCTCATCCTCTCAATCCAAGATCTTCTCCTGTTTACTCGTCGGTCCTGGTGAGTGTCCTCCTCTTAGTGTTGCTTGCCAGTGTACCTGGCAGGCTTCCAATAACTTTGCAATGAAATGGCATATGTAGACATGTTTCATCTATACACATGGGGACTCATGTGGTTCGAAAATAACGAGGAAACACAAGGGCTCGCGAGGATTTAAGCCTCATAGTGAGGGAATTAGCGGTGAGCTCGAGGGCTTTGTTGCTAAGATGCGACGTGAGGTCCCGTACTATAATGTATCGCTACGCCTCCAGGATCTGTCTTACGAGCGAATGTGTCCGTACCACGAGAATTCTACACCGATATGTAGTACCACGAATTGTGACTGATTGAACACTCGTTCTACTTCTCTTCCTCTTCGCGGCATATCGTCCACCTAATGACAACAATGCAATACTTCAAACCCGGATCTGGGACTCCTTGTTCGGCCTCCGTATCTCGTTCTGTCCACTTATTCCTGGCTTTGTCGTAATAAAGATCAGAAAGCCTACTGGGACCCATCCATTCCTTCTTGACAATCGGATTGCCAGCAGTGCTGAGGGTTTTCCCATTATTAAGCATGTGGGTGTAATTCTTGATTCGTTCAGCGATGGCGTAGATCTGGAAGGATTACAGAAAAAAATTCGGCACGACGAATCGAAAGGAGAAACAAAGACATACTTGCTCCTTGTCTCTCTCCATCGTTTCCAATTCCAAAATCACTTCTTCGAGTCTCGTCGAATAATCCAACCCTGTCGACCATACATCGTTCAAATTCAACGGGTGGTTGTCCTCCCACCACCACCAATCACCGTGTCTAAGCGTGATCTTCAAAGATCTTGGTCTCATGGAAGGTAACTTGCATATTTCCGGAAAGTCTCCCTCCAAATAATATTGTTGCGTGAAGAAATGTACACGATCGACGCGATCCTTCTGCTCTTCGGTGAAGCGCGCAAAGTATTCTAGTGGGTTGCTTGCATAGGTAATCCCTGGAGGAGCGCGATGGCACCAAAAAACGTGTTCGGTTGCCATGACCGGCAGGAAACGACTCTCGAGGTAGATTAGACGGCAGGTCTGCAATATACGGGGATCGATTCGGGAGGTATGTCGGTAGTCTGGGCGGGAATAATGTTCGTCCTCGGGGTAGACAGTGGAGAGATCTTCATAGCTTAGAAGAGCGTAGAGGAAGATAGTATTACGGATTTCGGGGGGAATTTGGTTGAAGAGGGGAGAGTGTTCCTGGATGTTGTGGTTTAAGATGAAGGAAGCAATGAGTTCTGGGGTGGGAGGTGTTGTAGTGAGTGGTTCAGATTGACCACTATTGTCGCGCTGTCGCCGGCGTAGGGAGGACATGAAGGATGGCAAGCAAAGTTCCGGACAGAGGTTGGATCAGGGCTGCTGCAGCGTGTAGACATGCAGTGAGTCAACTATTGTCATACCAATAAATCAAATGCTTGGTATCCTTTGGTATCACTCATGAAAATAGTTAATGGTCAAAAACTAATGTCCCTGGCAGGAGTCGAGCCTGCGTCCCCACGGTTTGCTGACTAAGCCACAACGTGATGATCTAACCACTAATCGACGGGGACAACATATTATTACTCCTGGTAAGGACACTAGAATTTAAAATTTGAACATCGATCATTATCGATATCATTCAGAACAGATTCAGAGTCTCCTTATTCTAGGCCTTATTACTGGAGCATTATACCTACTTCTTTCGCACGTGCCTCATCAGAATTGGACCACAATCAAACCATCCAATAACCGACATCTTTTCTTGGTGAAAGAAAAGATTATCGATGACTTCTGAGACATTTTCAACTCGGAGGGACTCGGAGGCTGGAGCATAAATCTTGGATTCAAAATGCCTTTTCCCTCATCTCTTTACGCTGGTTCGGTATGTGCTTTCACTGCTAATCCCATCGTTCTTCTCTGACCCTTTTCTTCATTTGCAGTTATCGATCATTTCAAGCCTTCGTCAAAACGTCTGCTGGTCAAGATTTTTTGGTCAGCAGCTCAACAGCTGTCGCACCGTGGCCGTACTCACGCGTTCATAGATATCAACTGTATCTTTTTATCGTTTCAAGAATTCCCGAACACCACCTTTGTCCCGACGCGTTTTTTATTCCGCACGCACCACCAACGGAAAATGCCCTCCTTCCGATCCCTGTTCTTGCACCTGCTCGCCCTGTGCATCATTTCTTCCACTGTTCCCAATGTGGTAGCCAGTCCCATCGCTCTGCAAGGTGGGCTGCTTGAAGTAAGAGCCAGCAACCCCGGCGGTAAATACACCTCTTGGCTTTTCTTTTCATCCTACCTTTTACACCGTGGATGCTAGTATATGGCTCTGCTCCCGGCTTATTCCCCGTAGACTTTCTATGCGATACCCTTTGACTTACCATCTCTCTCTCACACAGTGGGTTCAAGTCCTCAGGCTGTCAACACAGCGCCTAGTCCCTCAACTCAGCCGACGCAAAAGAATGGTCGGTAGTTCTTCCTTCTCTTACCTCATTTTTATCTCATTCCCAATGCAGACTCAGACACCTATTCTGAGACAGGGTCCTCTGACAACGAGTCGTCGCATGATCCTGAAGATGACACAGAGGAACCGGATCCAGAGTTCAAGAATGTTCCGATCAGGCTCTGGCGAACCAAAAATGCAGACTTTCACCAGTGGGTTGACTCTAAACTCGCTACGTTCAAAGGCGAACACTGGTGGCTCTGCGTCGGCAAGCAGTGTTACCGGGGGGACTCAAAAGCGCATGAAGAGGACATCTTGGTTCTCAACATGGAATTCGTCAGCGACAACAAAGACTTGCAGAATTTGCAGAACTCTTTACTGATCGGCCACATCACCTTCGTTGATTTTGAGCACAAAAAATGGTTTCTTCGTCCTATCCAGAAAGGTAAAGAACTTAGCTACCACAAAACCAACCTGGAATTTGTTGAATGGGAAATCCCACGATGGCAAGACATCAATACCGATTCAAAGTCTGACTTTACGAATACACAGTTTAAAGATTTGCTTGCGAAGATGAAGGCGATGAAAAATTTTGGGTAAAGTTTGTATGATTGACATACATATGTACTTGAGTTGATCAGTATGCTTCTTTAAACCAATCCATCCTTGCACGATGATTAGAGTCTGACAGTACTGGTCTATTCATGTCCAACCGCACGATAAATCAGCTGAGCTCGATTTGAGGATAAAATCCGGATACCTGGCTTGGATTGACACTTGAAGTGCTTATTCACAATATCCGTCCTCAATGCGAACCTCCAACGCGATCTACGTTCCTTTATTTAGAGGAGACTTTGTATCGCACCGGGAGACACAGTGCAAGAATATGTCGAAAAACTTGACAACCTTTAGAAACACCAGTCGTTTAATTTTGAATGATGTGTACGATAATAAAGCAAACTCACATCCAACGACTGCGTGACTATACAGTTCTTCCCATCGCTTGCCCAGCTATCATCTCTGCAGCCGCGATAATCCCAAACATCGACTACCGTTTCGCCAATCGTATGTACGCCACTCAATTCGACGTCGACACGATACCTCTGTGTCTTGGTGAACAATTCCGGGTGGGCTACATATGCGATTGTCAACGCGTCGTGAAGCGGCGGACCGTCGTTGAAGCCAAATGTGGATTTGTAAGAGTCTGCGAAGAAGGAAATGAGTGTGGAGAGGGTGTGTCGGAGAGGGGTGGAAGCTGCCGGGAGACTGATTTTCGTGTCTGGGAGACTATCTGGTATGGAGCTCGGAGAGAGGAGTCGTCGATGGATGTCACGGGTGACAATAGCTGTATGGGTGACGTTGATAGGGATCATAACCGCAGGTACAGGTGCATCGAGAACGATTTGAGCGGCATGGGCTGTTTCAGTGGAATTTTAGTCATTCATTAAGTTGACGTTCAAGTGAGCTCTGACTTACGGTCACAGAGAATGTTAAATTCTAGAAAAGGTCAATATTGTTTAGCGAAAAAAAAAAGAGTGAAATGAGCTTCACCAGCAACTGCGGATCGATTCCCTAGTCCAACTCCTCCACCCATAAAAACAAATTGCTCCACAGCATCAACGAGCTCAGGATACACACTAATGAACAACGCAAGATTTGTCATCGGTCCGCAGGAGACGACAGTGACCTTTGCCCCTGCGCCATTCTTCCAGTTCTGTTTGATATGCTGTGCCATTCCATCTAACGCACGAACAGTTTCTCCTTCTTCATCTCTGGCAATCATAGCTAAAACCGCTGAATCATCTACGGCCGGTAGCCCCTCAACGCCTCCCAGACCGTCTGGACCGTGTATTTCTGGATCATGTTTAGGTTGAAGAAGCAGAGGTTTCGATGCGCCTGGATAGACTTTAATTCCAAGTTGTGCACCGCCAAATGCGAGGATACATCGAGCGGCGTTGATTGCTGTGTGGTAACTGCTGGCATTACCATGTGTCTGTTGCAGGATTGCTTTGAACGAACACTATTCAGACAAATCATGGCGTTGTCGTTACCGTTGAAATTCCGAGAAGATGTATGTTGGGTAAATTTATGGCGAGCATTATGGCGGTAGCGTCATCGTGCCCCTGCAGGTAGTCTGGAATTCATGTTATGTGCTGGAACCAGGGGATAAGAGCTCACTGGATCGACATCCAACCAGATCGTCTTGGTATCGCTCATAGCTACTGCAATACAGCTCCGGCGCCTTTTTTAAATAAGTTAATATTCTCCTCATCACCTCACCCTCACCCTCCAGCTTATCATTACGCAGCCTTCTCTGGAAATCGAAGGGTGGAATGCTACAATGGCAGGACTAAGATTATTGCTCTCTGTGCTTTGTAGAATTTTTAGTGTTCATTCTCTCTCGTTCACTATTATGCACGAGGCAAGGCTTTTGAGGGCTTTCGGCCACTGGAAGAGGCACATCGATTTCACTGATATGTACGTACACAGACAAGTCTTTTCAAGACATTACCCAAACAAATTCTTCTTTGCCTCCTCCTTCATGTATTGCTCGATCTCCCCATGGTTTCCTAGCTGCGGGCCTTCGGCAGATTCTCTTCTTAATTCACGCAAGAGAGCTGCAAGATAGTCCCAGTTGGTTGGGTTAGAGTTATCCTCGAAGTAGTGTCGTTGACCTTTGACGAAAACGGCCAAGATTTGACGCTTGTCTTCGATGTCATCGAAAGAGATTTTGCCACATTCCTTCGATTCCTGCAAGGTTCCGCGCCCGATGATCACGTCGGAGAGTAGATCGCTTGGTGCCTTGGGATCCTTGTTAGCTCGCAGACATCTCATACCCACACAAAGCCAGTATTTCTTAGATTCTGGTGTGTTTTGTCCTTTGGATTGATATATCACAATAGCAAGATTTTTAACTTCATTATTCGGCTTTCCAGAGTCCCGAAGGACGTTAGGATTGACCTCCACTGGATTTTCGTGCCAATAAATTTGGCCTGAAACACATATTCGTTAGACAACAAAAGAATTTGAGAAAAGAAATACCTTACCGTCCACATTGTGCTCCCATCTAGCACCATCCTGAGCAGGATGATAAGCGATAAAACTCGCTTCCGCTGCATGGGCGAAATTGAGGAAAGGATTAGATGATTGATTGAAGTAAAGATTGAAGAGCACTTACAGCCAGAGTGATTGTCGGCTCTCGATACAAGGAGGGCTCCATCATGAAAGATAGGACTGGCTACCACACTGAGAACATTGGAGGAGATGATGCACAGGCCGAACAGGTGCACGAACATCGCTCGGAAGCAGGGCATTTTTTTGTGGAAAGAACGTGTCGGGATGAGAAGACGATGCAAATGTACGGGTGGAATCTGTGAACATGCATGCACGAAAGTGAGTATGGGAATACTCAGCGACCTTGAATGACGATGGCGAAATACCGAAAATCTGGACCAGCAGATGGAGTTTTGAAATGTTCTGTGAAAGTTTTGGGCCGAGGATGATCAATGACTACAAAAGTATTCGATAATAAGAGAAGAACAGGGGGATTACTTAGTGGGGGAGGCACGTACCGGACCAGCGTCAAGGAAGAGATGGAGGGAATCAAGTTCGAGCCTCGGGAAAGGACCCCGGAAGCTCCACCCGCCCAGGCGGCCTCGATTACGCTATGATTTTGGCCCGAAGTACGCTAATTCAGATAAAGAACGTCACGTGAAATTGTGAAAAATTGCTCCGAAAATACCAAAATTTCTTTCCAAGCCTGGAATCATCTTTCTGTATATTTTATTGACTATTCCTGCTGCTCCCAGAGCTCTTCTGAGCTTCTTTGCCCAATTTCTGGTGCCAGAGCTCCACCATAATCATGTCAATGCTTCAGCTTCATATTGCGCTTACAGATGCATCACACTGGACCCATTCTTACGACGGCTACAATTATCAAGACCTGTGGAACTTCATTGTAGGATCCTAATTGATGAAGAGGCCGCAGCTTATCATTATGCAACCTTGTCTAGAGGTTGAATGCTACACTTTGGCAGGATTAAGAGCAGAAGACATCGTTTCTCTTTCTGCTTTGTGGAATTTATATCAAGTTTGCCAGTGTGTTCATTCTCTCTCGTTCACTAT